TTTAAAACTCTTGGCCAAAAAGTCTATGTAGAAGACAAAATTACCTTTACAGAAGGATCATTTGAGATGCCTATCCCAAAAGAGAAAATTAGGTTAGTTAGGATTACAGGGAGACACCCACAAAGCAATGAAAGAAAGTTCGGAACATAGACAAAATATTAATAAGCAGAAGCAATTTAGTTCACTTTGCAGATCTCTTTCACAAAAGTAAAGCTCTTTGTTTCCTCAGTTCTTTTATTGTGTTTACATAATTTTCTCCTGTCCAAAGAAATGATTCATCGAAATAATGAATCACCATTGATATTGACAAATTTCCTATTCTTACCTTATGAACATCTAATAATAATAATAGAAATGAATCAATGCATTTTTTTGTTTTGTTATCTCTTCATCATATATGAATCATTGCCATCATTGCCACGGTAGAAATTTCTCGATTTCGAAATATATCGAAACCTTGGGTAGTAAAAAAAAGGGAGATACTATATATCCAGGATTGGATTTCATATTCGAATGAACCTCCCTTTTCAACTTCAAGTTAGGCAAATTCAGATTATTCTCAGATGGGACAACACTACTTTTCAAAGAGAATCTTCTTCCATCTAGAGGAAATACTCAATTTATTCAGTACAATCTTTCTAGTTACTTCGTTCTCTATTTCTATTTAATAGAATCCTTAAGAAAAGTATAAGTGATGTGCGCGATACAAAGTTCATGGTGTAGAACGTATAAAACAATTATCTCAAGATTATCTAGACTTTCTAGGCTATTTTTCAAATTTACACGAATCTCTTTATGATAAACAGATCCGTTTTGCAAGTTCGTTATTACGGGTAGTTCATACTTCATGAATGGCAATAAATGCAACAAGAGCATGCTTAGCCGCTCTTTCTACAAACTAAGTGCCACAAACTCTGAAATGGTTTTATGTTTTGAGTAATGAAGGTAGATCTAAAGCTTTCACTCAAAAGTGTTTTAGCCAGCAACCCAAGGAATGTTGCTGACCTTTCCTTTTGGAGAGAAAAACAGGATAAATAGACATGCACGATTGGAGTGCCACCCATGTACAAGAGGACATGGTGCCAAGATCTTCTCCACCAAGGACAAGGTGTCAATTAAACAAACAAGACGAGTTATGAAACCAGTGATCTCCAATGCTGTCAACAGGAGAGAAAATGCCCTCAGCTTCTGTTTCTTTCTTTCCAAATGACCGAAGTAGGGCAACTGGGATTATGGAAAGAAGATTTGTCTTAGATTTATTCCAACAAATACAAGCAGAAGCCCAGATCTCCTCCACAAACCACTTGGCTGTTGAAGATAAGTTCAGGAGACCAAGGACAGAATTCTACAACATTCTAGCTTCCAAATGCCAAAGCAGAAGATGATTACAGGATTCTCCTTCAGACGAGATAACAAAGGGCCACCATTGACCAAGATTCTGCCTCTCTTGATCAATTGTCAGTAGCAAGAATTTTTCCCAACACAGCTCCCAGCCAAAAAACGCAGTCCTGAAAGAAAAGGTTATGGTAGAAAGACTTTACTATGAAAACCTCATTCATAGAGAAAAACCAACACAGCATGTCACTACCATCCAGATCTGTCTTTATCAGGGCAAGGTAGTGCTGTGGAGTTTGTGTTTCAGCGTGCATCTTAGTGGCATTTAGGTAATGGTAATTAGTAAAATAAAACTGTAATTAGTACTTAGGTGTCTGTGCAGTATTATGTGTGTTGTGTGTGCTTATGTATTGTATTACGTATGACTTTCTTAAATAGATGCAGCAACTGCAGTAAGTATGACGTATTGTATTTCTATTAAATAGGAGGAGCGTTAGTAGGAAAAAAAATAGGGAGAAAACAGAGGGGAAGTTGGCTGCCTGGAATAACATACAGATAACTGCTGTTTCTTCTGGTGTAAAAAAATCCTGCACTGTTGCTGTTCAGTTTTATGGAGAAAAAATGTTTTAAAAAAGGTTTCTTGGGTACTTTAAACTCTATGAGATTGTACAACTCTCTCTTAAGAAGCCCCTAAAGTAGATTAGAGATTGATAAAAGAAGGAAGAAACAAAAAACACTCTAAAGTTTCTGCAGATTTCTACGTAAGTCGACCCATAACAAATTGGTACAAGAACTAGAAGTTCTGGAGGACTTACATTCTCTTGAGTCTTTTGTGAAAACATACCAAGAAGATTGGGAAACAAGATTGCCTCAAGTTTGAACTTTTAGCCGAACAATTGGAAGAATTATTTACTGGTCCCAAAGCAAACCTTATTTTTTTTAGTTGTACATACAATCAAACACTTAATTGTGGTGCTTAAAATTTCTTAAATATGATGTTTAAAAAATTCTGTGTGATATCCAGGTTTTATCTATAAATCCCGAGGTATGGCAATTAACTCTAATTGGGTCCTACATCTATCAGTCTCGCTCCACATGTTCAACAACTTTTGCAGGGTAAAGCAAAAGAATTTTTCTTAAGTACATGAGCTTTGATTCTATAGTAGTTTCACCTCCAAACTCACCTGGAACGTTGGACAAGCAATCCTCCTTCAGTACTGATCAAAGAGCAATGAAGAAAAAAAAAAGAAGAAAATAATATGATTTCTGTTACTTTTTACCACTATCATTCCTTTCTTTTCTCTTGCCTTCTAACTCCCAAACATCCCGAAATCTTAGCTAAACTTATAATCCTGAACATTTTCCATCAAAATTTGCACAAGATGCAATCTGACCACCATAATGCAATTGACCAAATCATGAATAAACCTAAAAAATGGAAACTTAAAAATCACCATTTCCTTTCACTTTCACACTCTCATTTCTATAGCTGCCACTGACTGCCCCACCACCATGTCAGTCTCAACTCTATATTTCACACTCAAATCTCTCCATCTAACCCAAAAAATCTGATGTGAAATTAATAAAGTGTGAGAAAATAAGTAAAAGAAGAATGCACAATAAGCAATTCTTTCTCCAATTGAATATGAGAGAAAGCTAGGAGGAAAAAAAAGTTAGGTAAATTGTCAAAGTGTACAAATCAGTGTTCTTAGATTGAGAAAAGAGTGAGCAAAACAAACTGCACTTTTTAAAAAAAATTTCTTTTCTCTTCCATGTTTCTATCTTCTCAAACTGTGAACAAGAAGACAAAACAACGATTCTTTTCCTTCCCATTTTTTCACTTTCTTTCGGTTCTTTCCTCCCCCATTTCTTTAATTTTGCTTCTCTCTTATCAATCACAGCATAAATCTCAGAACCCAACACTCTCTTATACCATCTACAAAAAATCAATCACTTTTTGCTTAATTTCACACCCATTTCTCTGGTTTTACTCCCCACCAGTTACTAAACACCACCACCCAAGCCCTACCACCTATCCAATTCTAAATTTCCACAACCAGATTGGTATACACTAATATAATAATCCCAGCTTCGCAACTCTCTCAAAACGAATTAAGAAAATCCAATCCAACTCTTTAAACCGATCCAGCGCCCAAACCGAAACTACCTTCGATTATTTTCCAAAAATCCCAGTATCCATCCCTAAGTAAATCCAAAAGCTCTAGAAAGTACGACCAGACAAAATTTGAAACAACCCATTTCATAAAAGAAATTCTGAAACAAAGTAACTCAAATAGATTACATGCATGTATATGTAGTATACACAGTACTGGTTTTGAAATGGGAAATCCACCACAGAAATTGATGGAGAACTCATACCAAAATGAAAGGGTGACCGCAATATGGTCCTTAGGAGCTAGATTGGTGCAGCCTGTTTCTGGTCGTGTCAGGTGCAACCATGGCTTCGTGAGAGAAAAACGGAAAGAACGGATGCTAGAGAAGGTAATATAGAGACGCAGCACACCACTGCGTGGCCTTGTGGTAGCTGTTCGTTTTCTACTGAAAATTTTAGGAGAAAGAAGTTTACTAAAATTGAATTTTTTTATTTATTAATATACATTAATTATGTAAAATATTATTAATAATTTATATAATGGATTTTTTTAAAATATAAAATTGATCAGAATATATTAAAATATAAGTAATAAATAATAAAAATTTAAATCATTTATGTAGACTACCCTTACAAATTCATGGAAACCCACATCCGTACTAGTAAGTACTATGTGTTGTGCAGAGAATAAATATGGTAGTAAATAAATATATAAAAGTTATATATATATATATATATTATATGTACAGAAAAGGATACTAGCATATATGTATATTGGTTTTATAGAAATAATCATAAATATACTGCTTTTATTTTGGGTGGCCTTAATTAATGGGTATTACTGATTTCCTTTCTTAACCAACATATATAATTGACATTGAATTTCCTTACATAAAAACAAGAATAAAGGAAATTACAAGTACTAAATAAATAATTTACTAAATAATATTCTTATATTTTCCAATAATGTTGTTTTCTTGATAGTTTAATTATATAATCTAGTTAATATATAAATCAATTACCAAAAATTTGTTGGGAAAATCTTTGAGTATCTCTTGTATATTTGAATGACTTGAAAAGAAAGAAAGGTGTCTGTTAATGAGTTATGAAATAGTTTATTCTGAAAGTGAAGAAGAGACCCCAATAACCATGGGCTGCAAATGTTCCAAAGATGATTCTTTGGCTATCCGACATGGCTGCCAAGACCTACAATGGAGGCCTCTGCATAAAGGGTCAAGTGAGAGGATCGAGAATCATGTAGTAGCAGCAGTAACAACGACAAGAGAAGAGAAGAAGCAAAAGCAAATTAAAAGCAGGCAATTAGGTGGCCAAGTTGGGATCTTCGACACCTTAGGCTTCGATAGGATCCCCAAGGCTGTCATAGGAGAGCTGGTCACAGCAGGTTGGCCTACTTGGCTGGCGAATGTAGCAGGTGAAGCTATCCGGGGATGGATTCCTCAAAGTCGAGACAAGTTTGATTTGCAGAATAAAGTATATGTCTATATATTTATTTATGTACATACATACACATATCAATACTCAATATATCATAACTCTTTTTTATTCTTCAGTTCAATCTGAAGTTAACCTAACTTAAGAAAACACATGCCTACATCCTCTCTACTTGTTATTTTCTTTTTTTGTGCACTCATGAGGACTCGTTTTAATGGCATTATGTACGGGATTTATCCTTGCAGATTGGCCATGGATCTTATAGTGTGGTTTACAAGGCTCGTGATATCGAACGTCACAAATTCGTTGCTCTAAAGAGAATAGAGTTAAATCATCTTGATCCTCAAGGAATCAAGTTTATGGCAAGGGAAATCCTTGTTCTAAGGAGGCTTGATCATCCAAATATTATAAAATTGGAAGGTGTAATCACATCCCAGAGTTCAGGCACCTTGTATCTTATTTTCGAGCACATGGATCATGATCTTTCCGAAATTGCATTGATTTCTAACTTCAACTTCACAGAATCCCAGGTGATGCTACTTATATTCAATCTTGATCACTTGTTATATGTACATATATATATGTGTGCATATGTGTAGTATTTATATAGTATTGAGGAAGAGAGGAATATAAATCACGACTTACATTCCTTGTTCATTTTTATCAGATCAAATGCTATACGCAGCAACTCCTAAATGGACTTGATCATTGTCATAGCCAATTTGTTCTGCATCGTGACATAAAGTGTTCGAACCTCTTTATTGGCAAAAATGGTGTATTGAAAATTGGTGATTTTGGGTTAGCAAGTTTATATGATCCTCAAAATCTTTTCCCGTTAACAAGCCATGTTGTTACTCGTTGGTATCGACCTCCGGAGTTGATACTTAAATCATCTCATTACGGAGGTGCTGTAGATTTATGGAGTAGCGGTTGCATTCTTGCTGAATTATTTATGGGGAGGCCTGTTTTTCCTGGAAAGTCAGAGGTACAGATTCTCAATCAAACTTATATTGTTAATGTTGATGTAGTTGAATATTCGGTGTGTATTTTTAGAAAATATTTTGCATAAATCTTAAGAAATATTTTGAAAAAAATATTAATATTTTATTTATATAAGAGTTTATAATTTTATTAGTGATATGTTCTTATTTTTTATAGTAAAAAAATTTTGATAATTATTTTTGTAAATGTAAATATATTTGTGGAGTCACGTTAAATCTTATATATTTTTTCATTTTGCACTTTATTTTGTATAATTTTTTGCATGATGAGGATTTGTTTTCTCAATAATTATCTTAAGCATACATACATGTATAAAAGTGAATTTTTCTGCAGATTGAACAATTGCAAAGAATCTTCAAGCTTTGTGGGTCACCCCCAGATGAGTATTGGGACAAATTCCCTCCATCAATGAAAGTGTTAAAATCTGCAAAACAATATAAAAGATGCATTGTAGAATACTGTAAACATGTTCCTCCGGCAGCTGTAAGTCTTATAGACACTTTTCTCTCCATCGATCCGGCTGGCCGAGGAACTGCAGCATCTGCTCTCAACAGTGAGGTTCAAACCATTAAATTCTCTTCCAAATCAACTGAGCCATTTAATTTTCTCAATTTTCTTCATCCAATTCTCATAAATTTATCTCTTTTATTTTCATATAACACTAACGAATTTGCTTTTCCAACAGTTCTTTATGGCAGAACCGCTTGCTTGTAATTCTTCAATCTTGCCTGAGTATCCTTGGAGCGAAGACCCTCATCCTAAGAGTAAAGAAAGAAGGTTGCATCTTATGAACAAATCTTATCTATTTCATTGTCATTTTATGGAAATATTTCTCGAGTTTTAAGCAAGAATACATAGAAATAAATCAAAACAAGATGAACAAGAAGCAAAAAATTATAAGACTACAGTGGAAAGAACTAATAGATAAAATTATAACTTGGCGATACGAGAGGGACAATGTCAATAGTATTAACTTGTTTAGTGATTTTTCCAGGAAAGGGATCGACAGATGCCAAACCGAACCTCCGGCAATTTCAATTCCTAGAGCAGATGTTCCATTCACCAATTCAAAGCAGGTAAATTTATGCTACATATAAAGTAACAATCAAATTTAATTTTCATTTTTGAATACGTTTTTAAAAGTAACTAAGTAGCATTCATTTGAATCTTTCTCAGTTTGATTTCTTCTTGCAGAAAGTGCTAAGCCATCAACAGACAACTACAAATTCTTTTCTTGAAGCTACCCATAAAAATATTGATAGGAAATCTTCATATTTTCATGGTGTTGATAGCTACAAACTAGCTGAGGAATTGAGGGATTCTTCTTCCCTTTCTTCTACCACAATTAACTCTGACCTGTCCTCCACTTATCCAAGAATCATAAGCACTGATCTTAGATCATTTCATGTTCAATCCAGTTTGAAACAGATTCGAAAGCACTGCGAGCAGGAGATCGTCACATGTTCTCTTGAGATAAGTAGTGGGAAAACCTCAACAGATTAACTTGTTTTGGTCAGTTTTTCCTTTCTTTCTTTATCTCCAACATTGACAAATACATAAACACACATATTTACATATATTGAACACCAGGCATCCTATATTATTTAGTAATCCGGGAAAATATAATATATACTAATGGTTTTAAATCCTCGAAAGCACTAATATATAGTATTGAAAAAATTTTTAAGAGTTAGTTTACCTTTAATTCATACTTTGTAAGAAACATAGTGAAGAAGAATGATAGACCAATATAAAGATTTAATTTTTTTTTTTTTAATTTATATAGTCATTGTAAATTTTCAAATACATTAATATAAATACTAACAACTCTTAAAATTTTAAATACATAAATCATAATTAAGTTTAATTCATAAATCATAATTAAGTTTAATACTTAAACTATTTATCAAAAATTCAAAAGACCTATATTTATTATCATAATCAAAATCTATATTTAATTTAACTTTGTAGTAAGATAAAAACTTTATACATGTTTGAAATTTACAAATTATTATTTTAAATAATATTACCTTTAAATAATAAATGGCGTCTGTGATAAATTTATAGTTTTACAAATTATATCAAAATCGATAATATAAGACAAACGTTGGATAGCCGTATTCTATTTGGATAAAATCTGATTTCATGTTTGAAACAATGATCGAGTTTTTAACATATTGCATTTGTTATTGATTTATGTTTGCTAAATTTTCTTTAGGATGGTACCATGTGACGAAGGAGACTTGCAGGGCCATTAGTTGCTTCATTAAGCAAAGGTTGATAAGATTTTTATGGTGAACAATTGTAAGATACAAGGACATGCCAAAACAAGTTCGATAGAATTTTAGAAGCAGTTATTGTGAGAATTACAAATTCGATGTATGTCTAATTTTTTTACGAAATATGATATTTACTGTAAAAATATTTTTACTAAAAAAAATGAGTGAGATAAGGTGATAGAAGTTATATGCGTCATGTGATAATTTTATCTCGCATTGGAAAGAAATGTAATTATTGAACTCTATATTATAGTCTATATTGTATATTACTAAACCAGTTGTTTGCGGTCAAAAACTGTTGGATTAGAGATTATTGGACTCAAGATTTTATAAATTATAACTCATAATATATGTTAATATGCAAATTTGGTGATTCTAGGTTGGTACAATTGTGAACCTTACTAACTTTTAAATTATAATTTGTGATTACAATAGCTAATATTAATTATAATATCACTGATTTAAATTATAGAGATTATGATACCCTAATGATTCATAGTTTGAAAAATTCTAACATGCTCATTTAGAATTCTTCTATTTAATATATTAGGACTTGATAGAAGAAAAGGTTGATAATTTCATGTGATTTATGGAGCATAAATATTTATTTAAATTTTTATTATTTTTAATTTATCACATCATAAAATTAGAAATAATATTTTTAATTTTTACACGAAAAAATTCACATTTTATTTAATACATTAAAATTTAATATCCATTTAATTTTAATATATTGCATTGAAAATAAATAAATTAAATTGATAATTTTTTTATGCACAATAAAAACTTACATTGAGTTTATATAAGTTTTATTAAAACCCAAAAGAAAAAAAAAAATAGACGAATGAACAAAAAAAGTTTGCAGACAGATTTCAGTTTCTATCCACTTTTCTTGATAACATGAAATGGTTCTAATTTTGAGGAAACAAAACAACTCTTTTTGACCCAATATATATATATATATATATATATATAGTCATATACATCGACATTAACGTTTGCAAACTCAGAATCAGAATCCAAGAACAGCTTGACAACATTATCGGAAATAGAAGATGAGCAATTTGAAACTGTCCATTTTCATAAAATTTAACATTTATTATTTTAATTTCATTTAATATTAATAAAATTTCAGACAATGAACTTCAAGATTAAACTTCCGACAAAATCGAGTCTACATTTCAAACTTCTATCACTAAAATGGCAACAAAAATGCTGATTATTATTGTCCCAAAGAGGAAACAAATACCCATGTAAATTTGTCAAGTGTTTCAAAGAACACCGAAGCTAAAGTTGGCAAATCCTATAATTTCAGATTTTATTTTCATAACTTTGACAAATATTTGAGATGAACAAATTGTATATTGTAAAACATATCAACTTATCACTCCTAATACATATGGTTCCACAAGAATTAGCGAATATCTACTTGTTATATACTGTTAACATGTAACACGACATGCTGTCGTAAACTTGATTTTTAGATGGAAAAAAAAAAAAAAAAAAAAAATTCCAAGCACTTACAGCAGAAAGACAAGTTCTGGCATTTTTTCATTCTAATATCGAAAAATTAGAAGTTGATTTAAAAGGGAATAGATTGAATCTCATCTCTCAAGAAACTACATGATGGTTTTCTTGGTTTAGCAGCATACATAGCTTTGTATATGTATATTTTCTTGGAAATTAATCAAAAAGTAATTTTGCAATGTATATATAATTTCCCCGCTCAGCAAAATTGGTAAGTATATTAAATGTAAGTAAGAGGGAAGATATTTGTTTTTATGGTGTCTATATATAATTACAAGTTTGTTTAAATAAACTAAAAGAAAGAATGTGAGATAAAGAATTAATTGAAAACATATCAATTTACGTTGTTTATCTTATAATTTTTCTGGATCATCTCCGACTTGATCTGTTGTCGATCCAATCCCCATCTGCAACCATGGAGAAGAACCCTCATTGATCATTTTCATGTCCTTGAGTTCACTTAGCTTTGCTAACTTCACCTTACTGTCTGCTTCGTCGTCGAGTACCATATTCTTCAATGACTCGTCGCAATTCTCGTCTTTGTGGTTAATGGTAACGTTATTGTTGTCGCTGTTGTCATGATCTTGACTTCGGCTTATTTGCTTTTCGTGCTTAACACCTACCAAAGGTTGCAAGAATATCTCTGTAGAGACTTGACCGCTTATAATATTGGTAGTATTGCGTTTATGAGGATTGTGATGATCGATTCCCGGGGCAGGAAGATTGAGATCCAGCGTAAGATCAAGTGTCTGATCTACTGTAGGATTCTTGAACAAGTTATTATTGTTGTTTGGTCCTTGTTGCTCATGAAACTGGTGGTGATGATGATTGAATTTGGGCAACGAAGATGTCTCCGCTAGCGAATTTGACGTAATCCAATGACACCTTTTGTGTCCACCAAGTGCTTGCCCTGACGAAAACACACGATGACATATCGAACATTCATGTATTTTTGATTTCCTTTTTGAACTAGTTGCACCCACCCCAATAGTTCCATGATCAAATTGCATGGTTGACATTGATTTAGTCGGAAAGAACTCTTCATGTGTAATCACGTCATGATCTTGATCATCGATATTATTATTGTTGTTGTTGTTATTGTTGTTATCTTTAAGATGATCTATTTTCGCCGCAAAACACCCTTTAACCTTCTTGTGGCTAGCTCTATGTCCGCCCAAAGCTTGATGAGAATTAAACACTTTCTTGCACGCTTTACACTCGAACATCCCTTTTGTTACCACCCCTTTGGCCTTGTCCCTATTGGCTGTGACTATCGTCGTATAGTCATTATTGTTGTTGTTAGTGTTATTATTCGAGACGAAATTTAAAGGTAAGTAATTCCTTTGAATTTCGTCTTTACTGGCGGATGCACAAGACTCCTCGGGTTCTACGATGAAAGCATCAACGGTGGCATTAGATAACATCATGAGACAATTAGCGAGATCTTCTTCTTCGCTGGAAGGACAATGGGATGAGCCAAACACTTTAGCTCGAAAAGATCTTTTTCTTTTAGACCAGTTACCGGAGCCCCCTCCTCTACGTTGGATTAATCCATCATCGGCGTCCGAACCAGGAGAGGAAAGGAGGGAGTCGTCGTCCCCCTCGTCGTCTTCTTCATCATCGTCGGAGGTGCACTTTCCATGTTCAAGAAAAGATTTCCACGACGAGAATTCCTTGCCGCAGTTCTCACAGCTCCGGCAGTTTTTGAACCTGTTAGGATTAGTACGTAAAGCGTACATGCGTTTATTGGTGGTGGGGGGAGGTGGAGCGTTTGGACCGGCGGCAGCCTCCCAATCACTAGCATGATCGTCGTCGTCGTCGTCGATATGGGCGGTGTCATCGCCGATGCCATGAGCCCTCATGTGGCCACCGAGGGCTCTGCCACAACCAAAACCCTTTTTGCAGATCCGGCAATAATGCTTGAAATGGGAGTGTTGATCTTCGATGAGAGCCATGCATGAAGAAGAAGAAGAAGAAGAAGATAGGAAAGTAAAAGATGAATAAAAGAGGAAAATAGAATGGTGATTTTTGTAGTAAGATCGTATGGTAAGTCCTGGTTTTTAGTTGGGAGTATGAATTGGTGGATGAGAATAGGAAAGTAAATTAAAAAGTAAATCAACGGAGGTGCGTAGGTCCAGTACATGTTGTGTGCGAGTGAGTGAGTCAAATCCTTCTAACTGATATTTCCTATTATTATATTTTCTCTTGCAAACCAAGAAAACAAATCAATGGACTCTCCTTCTATGTCGCTAGATACATGTGTGTATATATATGCACACATGTATAATACCGTACCCACTAGTCTGTACATTTTTTCTCTTTTAAAAAAAAAAAAATTAAATTAAATTAAATTAAAAATAAGAAGAAGAAGAATTTTTACAACGAATCTAAATTTACCATCCAATCAAGATTTTATAATAATAATATAACAACAAACAAACAAACAAACAAAACAAATTCTGCTTATGAAACGAAAAAGAAGGTGTAAGAAAATGTGAAAGTAAATTAGAAATAAATACCCAATTTAATTTCAAAGTTTATTGCGAATTATTCTCCAAATTTTTAATTTTATTTCAAAATTCTTACTAACTCATAAACTTTTTTTTTTTTTTTTTTTGTCTGCAAAATACAACATTATAGGAATAAGTTTATAACAAAATCCAGAAAAGTTGGGTTGAAGAGAAACGGCAGAGGAAGTAAAACACCTATCTTTTCCGACCGGAAGAGAGGTGTCTACTAAATACCTTGTGTTTGGTCAAAACGTTAATCTTCAAAAGTCTGGAATGGTTAGATTGGGGAAGATTAACGAGGACTTGGTAGGTTTTAAATTTGTGGATCTACCAATTTAAGTATTTGAAGTCTACCATTCCATTGGGTGCTAATAATGAAGATGACTCTATCGTTGTGGAATTTTAAAAAGCCAATGGGACCTTACTACGGAAAAGGGAAGTTGTGCACCAAATGAAAATTTTTGAAAGAGTGTAGTAAATAAAAGAGTTAGAGATGGGTAAAGAATTAGTTTATTATATATACAGTCTGACATTTGTTAAAGAAGGATTCGCAGAATTGAGGTAGTGTGAGATCTCATTTTGGCACTCTTTAACACAACTAAAATATTTACTATGAGAACTTTGTACAAGCATTTTCCATTCGTATAGACAGTAAATGCATCTCCAAGGATATAAGCTTTGTTTGCTTGGAAAGAAACACGCGAATGCATTCTGACCATTGATGAGCCAATGAGAAGAGGGAAGATATCATGGCTAACTGGAGGAGAAATGTGACCATATATACCACTCAAACGTCCCATCACGTAGAGCTTGTTATAAACTTTTGGAATTTTAGGAGATACAATTTGATCGTGGCTGACATTGTCATTGGCAATTGTGTTTGGGTTCCGTGGAAAAAAATTAGAGAGAGAGAGAGAGATGTTTTGAAAATGAAGTAACAACTATATTCAATGAAGAATTTAAGAGAACTTTTTTTTACACACTTAAACTAATATATCATTTCTTTTATACATAAATTTGCACTTCCTTGATGCAAAACACTTTTTTTTTTTTTTTAGAAAAATAATTTAAAGAAAAACTAAAAGAAGAGTAATTATTTTCTTGGTACATTCCAAGAACTCTTAAAAGAGGAGCCTAGCCTGTAAAACACCCTTAGTAAGCTTTACCAAGTTTGTTTACACAATTGATCGACAATACCCACAGCATCTTGGTAACATGTCTTTAAGGGAATCATTTTCACAATTTACTTTTCTTTTTTTTTTTTTTAAAGATTATTTATTTGTCTGTCATCCCTTTTTCTAACTCTTAATCATCTAAGCAAGCACCAAAATGCAATCACAAAATCCCCGTCTCTGTTACATTACAGCTTGTCAAATCTTTTCTAAAAGTCTTCACTTTAGTTTTTTCAACCACTTCACGCGAATAGAGAACTCAAATCCTTCCATTTAACAAATGGACAAGTGAGCAATTTGCACACTTGAGTTATGCACTTCAACAAAACGGGTTTTTTTTTAAAAAAAATAATAATAATAATAATAATGAACATCAAGAAAACATTATCCCAAAAGTTTTTTAAAAAATAAAAATGATTCCCCCCATACGAGGAAGAAATTTTCACCAGTTAGAACAAGGAATATAAAAATTATGATCTAATAGTTCTAATCAGCAATATCATCTCCATCTACATGGTTATCACTATCTTGGTCTACCAGAGGTTTATTTTTTACTTTTGACAATCGACCAGAAGATTTCAAAGGTTTCAAGGGTTTCTTGACCTTTTCCGCCTGCAACTCTAACCCCTTCTCTGAAGGCTTTCGTTTTCTTTTCAAGCGTGTTCCACCTGTGTCCTCTGTAAAAGAAATTAAGCATCAGTCAGCTATCCCACATCCTCTATGTTGGTGCAATGAACCAGAAAAGATAGTCATAATTTAAAGAATTAAATGAGCCTAAGGGGTAAATTGAAAAGGCTGTTCCTATTGGCAAAGTTAGTGTGTTAAGCATGCTGCATTCCCAATATATAATCATGCCTTCAGTTTCCCAGGTCCACAGTTGTTTCCTCCTGAATTCATAGTCAATTCGTTTCTGGAATATAATTGAACTTATGCTCACATTCTATGTCAGCATTGCCATAAGGTCAATAGGAAGTGTTTTTTCCAATAATTGATATAGGAAAACTGCCTTGACTGTAGTAGTTTCACAATAGTCATCTTCAAGGATGGTCAGCTGTAAATAGTTTAATGTTTAAAAATATTATAAATTCTAATCTATTAAGACAATCTAAACTTAATTCATTTTACATCACTTCCCCAGTCACCTGATCTACCAGGTCCAATTGGCTACCTTCCCACACGACAAAATGCAACCTGAAACAACCATAGCACACTCGGATTTCCACCCCATACCAGAACCACTCAAGGCTACATGCCATAGCATCAGAAATTTGATCCATTTTTGTTCCTGCAAACACACTACTTCAGGCTTCCATTTGCAATAAAAAAATTTTTAAAAAAATTATTTCACAACCGTCTTTTCCTAAATCATTCGTTCTCCCAATATTCCAAGAGATAATTTTTTTAACTAAAATCATACTAGATTGTTAATATTCCAAGAGATAATTTTTTAACTAAAATGATACTAGATTGTTGGAAAAACTGAAGCTCTCTAGGAAAGATGAATCCTTCCTGGATCTTTTTCCCTTAGTTCCTGTTTGCGAGTAATGATATGGGCTCATTGAGAGAGATGTGAATGATTTCTGAGAGTAAGACAAGAAGCTTTCTTTATCAAACTTTTCCCCAAACTTCCTTCATCCTTACAAAGAACTTTTACTCTTATGGAAAAACAGAAAAGTTACTGACTCCTAAACTAGAAACTGTTTGACCTTCAGACAAAAAAGGCAACTCTAAAATTCACACAACGAACTAACATGTGGAAGTAAACTACTCTTACAGAAGACCAAACTAAAGAACATGTCATAACTAATATCAGATAATAAACTATTCTGAAAAGACACCAAACTAACAAGCATGTGGCATTGAAGCACAAATGATAAACATTCAGACAAACATGTGGCAGTCAACCACCAAAAAATATGACGATCAATTAACAAAGTTACATAACTAATATTTAGACATACCATATTCAGGGTTTGTTTTGCTCACCTGATGCTTGTGCTATGAGTTGATAAAAATAGTATGAAAATAAATCTCATTAAAAACAACTTTAAAGTTAAAATAACATAGTATTTCCTAAAAATTGCTAAGTATTTGGTAGAACTTCTAAAATTTTGTCAATATAAACGGAATATTATGTTTGATTAATTATATATATAATTAGTAATAAAATTTGAGATAATAAAATTGCATAAAAATATAAAAGTTAATTATTATAATTATTTGAAAATTTTACTTTTATTTTTTTGTAATAATTTAGATTATCTAAAAATATTTTGTTCTAATTTTAACTATTTACCTATTTTATTCATCAATACTTTATTTTAAAACTATTTACACAATTATTAGAATACAAATTTAGTAATAGTAAATTAGAATTATTTTTTATTTAAATATATTCCATAAATGAAACACAGAATTAGTGAAAATATAATTTAAAGTCATTAAAGATATCATCCACCTGCTATTGTACAAGTCATATTCCATAAACATCTATTTAACTTTTGATTTTATTTTTATCAAAAGACAAACTACATTATCTTTTGAAGTAAAAATAACACCATTTTTTTAAATAAAAAAATACCTACAATTTTGGTGTTTAACTAAACTTCTACTTTCTACAGAGAAAAACATAAGTTAAAACCTGGTCAAACAATTACTTAGTTTTCTTTGTTATTCTTCTTTCTTCTTCCTTGCTAATTGGAGCTCTCTATGGAGCGGCATTCTTAACAAGAGAACATAAGAGAGGGAAAATCCTTGTCAATGGGCGTTACCTGTGCCAAGAGACAGCAGAATCACCTGATTACTTGCTGTTATGGAATCATTTGGCTCATCTATCATGAAATAATTATTGATTTCCTACACATTAAGCTGGCGATAGATAATTTATTGGCAAATAAATTGAAAACTTGGTAGGGTGTCAAGCTAGAAAAGACCAGAAGAAGATCTTTGGCGCTAGTCTGTTCGCCTATTATGAGGGTTATTTGGAGATTAGTTGGAACAGAGAAAAAGTACAGATTTTGATTGAAGAGTTACATTTTTGGTAGGCTTTGAGATCTTAGTTTTTTTACTTAAGGGTCAACCTCTCTATTCTAAAGAGGGGCTTTGTAATCTTGTTGATATTTTGACTAACTTGTGGGTAGCACCCTCTCGGTGCCTCATTGACACTCTATCCTTCTCTTTCAAAAAATTTCTGTCAAAAGAAAGAAAGCAGGAATAGATGTAATCAAATGCAAAGTCCAACAGAACTCCTATGCAAATTAGCTATCATCAAAAACAGGATCAACATGGCTTAAAATTTGCAAATGCAAAGCTTATGAAAAGTATTCATCATGATGATGCATTCTCGTGGACCAAGAAGTGTGGTGGTCTGATCAACTGTCAAGTAGTATGCCAAGGACAAATCAAAGTACAAAACAATTAAATTTGAAATTAGAAAAGCAACTCTGACTAGCATCTGCTGCTATTACTTTGGATCTAATTGAATATTAATCGCTAACCAAGGTAAACCAATAGCAAGAAGTTTCGAAGTAATATCACCCTAAGAAATCATGAGAATATTTGATTTCAGAATGTAAACTAGTTACGATGCTCATGCCTTGTAAATCTGAAATGCTACAATATGTGATTAGTAATGTTACCTTCAAGTGGACTTGATGCATGGGTTGCTACTTGTCCATTCTGCAGAGCCTCTTCTGAAATAGGAGATGCAGAATGATTGCTATCTATTAACTTTGAAGAACTTCCCCCACACTTATCTTGCTGTTCAGGAACATCAGGACTAGGAATGGCTGGCAAAAAGCAAAGTTCTTCCTGTGACATATCTGAATCACTGAAAGCATCCTTCTCGATTGTCACTATATCAACTTCATCATCCTCATTAACATCTGATTCTTTAACCTGCAAGCATGCATCTACTTCAGAAAAATAGATTAACTTAGAAAAAGGAGTGCATGATCTATTTCCATTTACCTTTTCAGTTTCAGGCATAAGATCAAATTCATCTTCTCGTTCCACATATTCCTCATTTTCCTCAAGCTCCTTAAAATCAGGAGCAAATGCACTCCAATTCTCCGTATAATCCTTTGCCCATATATAAACCAAGCCAGTCAAAGAGACAGAAACAATAATAGGGTGCACAGGATGCCATGCTAAATCAATAATTGCTTCCTTCGGACCTTCAAGAATTTTTACAAGATGCCCAGCTCTATCCCATATGTAGATCTTGTGCTCTCCTTTGCTAGCAGAACCTCCAATGACCCACTCTCCATCACCACTGAAACAAGGAGCTTTCCAATGCATCTTGGTGATGGAATCCTGAAACTCCCGGAAGAGTGACAAGCACTTTGATCCAATAGCCTTCATTTTCTCAACACCCTCAAGATCACTCAGACTTTTGTTTAGGTCATGAAGAGCTCCAATTCCATCTTTCAAAGGCAGAAGATTTTCATAAATCCTGATTGTTCGATCATTAGAATTCGTAAGAAGATACTGTCCACTCCTACTAAAGACGATGTTCTTAACCACTGCTCCACCAGAAATTGGGACAATAGCATGAATCTCAGTGCTTTTGTAATCTACTATGAGTATTTCCCCTTTAGAATTCCCTACATAAACTAGATCTCCATACTTGTTAAAACATGCTGCAGCTGGAGAGAATGGGGATGTTCCCTCCGAGTATTTATTGCGTGATTGCGGAGCAAGTCCATTGGTCAGATCAGAAAACACAACTGGAAGCAAAGTTGTGTTTCCTTTGTTTAAGTCAACAATCATGGGAGCAGATGAGAGAGGACAGGCCAGGCAAAGAGTTGGAGTTGAGGAACCAGGATGTAGACGAGCCTGCAGTGGGGTTTGCTGGAGAATTATACGTTTAATTTTCTCCCCACTTCTGACATCCCAAAGAGTCAATGACTTGTCAGCAGCAGATACAAGAATCCGATGGCCATACTTGGACCAGCAGACACTTGTTATGGCAGCAGAACAATCTTTATCACAAAGTTCCTTTGCAATTCCCCTGGTCTCAAAGTCCCAGATAACACAACTTCCATCAGAGCATCCAGCTGGCAAAAATTATCATTAAGAATGAGCAATATAGGACTTGGGAAACCTTTCACAAAAGTCAATAAATAATTTCTTATCTAACCAAAGAAGATATGTAAAAAAATCTAAAATTTCAACAATATGATTTGTTTTGGGAATAAACCTTTAAAAGTAAAATTCCCTTCAGAAAGCTTGTTCATAACTCAATTAATCCCCAAACAAAATTTCAAGTTTTTTCATAATAATCCCATAATTAAGAAATAGTTAAATGGCATTTTCTACCAAAACACTAGAGGAAGGCATTTTTTAATAAAACTCTAAAAGATTAAACTCCTATCATTTATTATAAGATTAAATTTGGCTCAATTTTCAATTTCATAGAATATGAATGGGAATACAATATATATATGAAATAAAAAGGAATGTGAATACAAAAAATATGAATAAAGATTTCAATAGAGTAACATTCTAGTTCTTAATTAATTCTATAGACAATTCAAGTTCAGTATTTTTGTGATTCCAATTCATTCCTTAACAAGCGGAAATACTACTCCATTATTATGGGATTAAAGATGTGAATGGAGTTGATATATATTCATGCATCAAATATTTAATTGACTAAATTTTATAATTTAAATAATTAAGATTTAGAAACTAAATCAGAAATGAACAAAAGTCAACAAACTGTAATGTAAGAGTAAAATCATAGCAACACAACTAGAATTTCCTTGTGATATAAAGAAGCCACTGTATTCTGAATGCTTCAACCTATAGGACTATTAATCAAAACAATGTCCAATCAAGTAACTAAATTTCTTGCCGTCACAGAGAAAAGCAACTTTTGCCTTCTCAAAGAAGCAACAGCGGCATAGGGTGCATTGTGTTTAATGTGTGCCTTGGTGCAGAAGACGCAAAGTAAAAGTCTAACCTCTAAGATGATATTAAATGTCACCAGATTGCATATTACAGGCAAATTTCTCAATATTTTGTCTTAACATTTTACAAATTAACCCTCCTAAAAATATGAGATTCCTGCTAGAAAATCCCACTGATACCAACATTTGATTTGACTAGCTGTATTTAGTTTCCAAATTTTTTCTCTTCATAACAATTATATATATCTACATATATATATGCGCTCATCCTTCAATAGAAAAGAAATTCAGTTATGTATATATTCTGCAAGATATTAGAGTCCTAAAGTCTCGGCCTTCATTTTCGTTTATGTTCTTTTCTATTAAGAAAAAAATAAATAAATAGAGTTTCCAGCCTTTCCCTTATGCTGCTCTAACATGCATCTGTCCTAAGGCACATATCCTCACTCTAGGAAGAAATAAGCGATTTTGGGGGGCGGACAACAAAGAAAAAACCAAAAACAAAAACAAATGGCTCTAAGGAGGCGAATGAAGGGAAGGAAATGCGTGTTTATGTGGAAGACGAAGGGGGAGAGACTGAGGAAGATGATTGCTACGATCTAATTGTAGATTGGTCTAAAAGCGAGGCAACAGATATTTCTGGAGCTGAGGATGCACACGGTGCGACGGTGATGGAGATGAAGGATGGTGGTCGAAGCTTAGCTGCGATGCCAATGGGGCGAAAAACATGGATGCAGGATTTGAGGAAGGTGGATAAATGATGTCTCAGAATGAGGAAGATCAATTGAGGGAGGAGAGAGAGGAGATGACATGAGACATTTTTGAAAAGAAAATTCTAACAATTATCTACTAGAACAAAATATTTGTTATGCTTAATATTTAATTTACTTTCAAAAAAAATATTTAATTTGATATGTATCTGCATACATGAGTAGGCTCCATAAGATCCAATAGAACAAGTGATGTAGCATAATCATAATTCAAATTATGTTTTTAGCTGTATTTTACTTATTTAATAGAATAATTAATAGTTGTAAATATTCAGCCGCTTGTGAACCCTCAAGCACTGTCTTATTTAATGTTTGTTTAATTACTCTTTTACCGGCAAATACTATATAAGCATTAGATTCGCCAATAATGATATCCCCCAACATACCAAAACTAACTATCACCTCACTGGTAGTAGGAGATGTAAGAATTATGGATTCTGCAAAATATTGAGAGAATTAGTTGCATGATGGGTATTTCCTTTGATGGGCTCAAGGAGAAGGCCATGGATTTAATCAAGGAGATAAAGAGGTTGAGAAAGGAGAAGATGGAAGGAGACAGACAATTGACGAGAAGGAAGAATAGACAGAGTGAGACGGGATCCAGGGAGCTAAAAGATTGCAGTCCGGCATTAATTATGACATTGTGAGGAGAGGGAGAAAGAATGGAAGGGAAGCTAAAGCCAATGACTAATCCATGTTTGGGTGAATAATCTCTTGGACTATTAGGGACATCAACGACACAAGAAGAAGTAAATGATTAAAGGAAGCATGAGTAGATGGAAATTGGATATCATTTGTTTGTAGGAGACAGAAATGGACAATATTCAAGATGGGATCATCAGAAGCTTATGGAAAACTAGAGAGGTGGGCTGGAAGGATTTCCCTTCTATGGGAGCAGCGAGCAATTTCCTGGTAATGTGAGGAAGAAAGATTCAGGTGTGTGGAGTACATAAAGGGAAAGTGCTCTATTTCTTGCCTTTTTGAAAATCAGAGGTGTGGAGGTTCTTGGGTGTTTACTAAGATTTACAATAAGGAGGAAGAGGGAGTTAAAGAGTCTCATTACGGAAGGCCTTGGAGGAATACATATAACAGTGGAATATGCCTTAGCCAGTGAGTGGGGACTTCAACATGGTGCTCAGCAAACAGGAAACTATAGGGACTCGCTTCTCAAGGACATGCACGGATGAATTCAAGGAAACTATGGAGAGATTGGAACTAATAGATCTTCCACTTACTGCTGGTAAGTGGACTTGGTCTAACTAAAGGATAAATCCAACATGTTCTCGAATTGATTGGTTTCTAGTGTCTATCACCTATCATCTCCAAGTTGTAACTATATGCCAGAAGAGGTTGCAAATGATCATTTCTTACCATTTTTCCATTTGCCTTGGTTCTGAAAGGATCATTTGGGGCCTGTGCCCATTCACATTTGAAGACAAATATCTAAGTGCGGATGGTTTTGGTGCAAAGGTTGAACAATGGTGGAAGAGCAATGAGGTTAATGGCAAGGCTAGCTTCAAATTAGTGCATAAACTGAAATTATAAAATCTACAGTAAAGCAATGGTGTGAAGAGAAGGAGCAGAGGAATATCCAAGTGTCATTTCGAGAAATGGAAGCCACAGATGGATTGGAGGTAGAGGGTGCAATGTCTATAGAAGATATTGCAAGGAGGGAAAATCTTAAGGTGGAATTGGTGACTAGGTTTCAAGGGAAGAGGTTGACTGGAGACAAAAGTCGAGATCAATGTGGATTAAAGAGGGGATCATAATATGAAGTATTTTCCATTGTATGGCTAATCACTATATGCCTTATTGTTTATTAATGTAATAGAAGTGCTCAACAAGTTGCAAGTGAAAGCAAGTGAGCAAGGCTTATTTAATGGGATCAAGGTGGGTGATGGAGAGACGGTGAAGGAAATAACGTAGTTATGTTTTGCCCATGATACAATGTTATTTTGTCAATCAAAAGAGAAAGCTCTACAAAAACTTAGGTGTATCTTGCTCTGGTTTCAAGTTATATTTGGGCTTAACATAAATCTTCCAAAATAAGAGATCCTAAGATTGGGGAATGGGAGTAATATTAGAAGACTGACGAAGACCCTAGGGTGCAAAGTCGTGGAGCTACCAATCAAATATTTGGGCATGCAATTTGGCGTTCATTACAAAGATAAAAAGACTTGTGATTTTATTGTTGCTCGATTTGAGAGGAGAGTTGTAGGGTGGAAGAGAAACTTTTGTCCATTATTATCAATTAATTCACATTAGAAGCATACCTCCCCATCTTCTCATCTATTATATGTCCCTATCATCAATCCCGATAACCGTTGCCACGAAATTGGAAACAATCTAGTGTAGATTTTTGTGGGACAATTCAATGGAAAGTAGAAAATACCATTTGCTGACTTGGACACAATAAATCGTTAAGATATACATGCATAATCAGATCATTATTGAGATTTTCCAATTAAAAAAAAACAATTTCTAAATAAAATAGATTTTTTTACTTTGTTTAAAAAGAGCAACTAGAAATAGGTCAATTGAATTAAATTATTAAATTAATATTCAATT